TGTGCTCTTCCGATCTATTCTCTATTGCAAATATTAATATAGTTTATATTTTATTTATTTTGAAAAATATAAAATTGTACAAATTTAAATTATTTTTTAGCTTTCTTGCTCATGGAGATAGCGTGACCACTACAGCTTTATTTTTTCGGATAGGAAAATCAACTGTATATAGTATTGTTCCTGAAGTTTGTAATATAATTTGGGAAATGTTACAACCCATATATCTCCGTTGTCCACAAGAAGAGGATGAGTGGATAAAAATTGCTAATGATTTTTATAATCTCTGGAATTTTCCCAATTGCATTGGAGTGATTGATGGAAAGCACTGCCGAATCCAAGCTCCACCACATTCGGGTAGTGCGTTTCACAATTATAAGGGACACTTTAGTGCTATATTAATGGCTATTGTGGATGCACGTTATCGTTTCATTTGGGTCGACATTGGAGATTACGGTAAATTTAAATTATATTATAATTCAAGGATGGGAAATAATCGCGTTACGTGTAATACTGTTACTTTTTTCAGTTTGTTTGAACAAACCGTAACTGCTATAAAATATTGTTAGGGAATAAGTAAGAGTAACGTCGTTACAATTAACGTGTGTTGCTTTCCATCTGTGTATAATATAATCATACAGTAACATTTATTTAAAAACAGAATTTGTGAGAAATATATACATTATAGGTTCTATGAATGATTCTGGAATCTGGGCTAATACTGCAATAAAGCAAGCAATTGAAAATAAAACGTTATCTGTGCCAGAAACCCGTTCTTTGCCTAATACAAATTGTCCACTTCCGTTTTCTCTTGTTGGTGACGAAGGATTCCCGTTAAAAACATATTTAATGCGTCCATATGCAAAGAGAAATTTATTGAGTAATGAGCAAAAAGTATTCAATTACCGATTAACAAGAGCACGACGAGTTGTTGAAAATGCTTTTGGCATTCTTGTAGCACGATGGCGAATACTACAGAAACCTTTAGCTCTGAAATTAAGTACTATCGAGAAAATTGTGCAAGCGATTACTTCCCTTACGAAAAAAAACTCTCAACTTTGAGTGTTCAACACTAAAAAAAACGCTCAAATTTGGGTGTTAACACTTAAAAAGGACGCTCAAATTTGGGTGTGATTTCGGATCATCAATTGAAGGTTACACTCAATTGAGGATTAACGCCCTAAAAA